GCTGTCCGTCGCAACACAGCAGTGTGACCAGTCACGCAGGGGCAGCAGGAGCTGGCCACACTCTGCTCCCACACGCGTGTCCATTTCACTAACCGTTTCCACTTCTCTCTCTTCTTTAGCTCCCCCACACTCTATACAGTGTGTGGCAATCGCCAGCAATGTGATTTCTCACACAGGGTGTGAGAGGGCAAGTGGGTGTGGCCGAGGGGCAGCAGGCCTGAGCATCGCTCAGGAGGAGATGCAGGGAAAGGCTGTGGTTCTCAGTGGGAGCGAACATGTGCTTGAACCAAGGTTGAGCAATACTGTGAAATGGAGCATATTGTGTTACTATTCTTATTGTTTAATGTCTGGGTAAAAAAAGGGAGGTATGCCTGGGTCCTGGGAAATCAGACAGACGAGACTTGGGGAGGATGTGAGTCAGATCACTCAACATCTACAATATTTACACCTGTTTCTTAAAACTAGAGTTCCCCGTGTGGTGTAGACACTGCCAGCCAGAGGCCCTGATGTGAGTCTTAAGTTTGGAACTAAATNCTTTCTTGACAAGTTTATTTCTTTAGAAAAGTTATTTCTTTAGTAAAAGTTTGGACTCATTCACCAGTGAGGCCATCTGACCCCTGAGTACATTGCAGGAAGATCACCATAACAGTTTCAGTGTCTTTAAGAGACAGAGGTTCACTCAGTGTCTATTTCTTAAATAGTCTTGCTATATGGTGTCTTCCTAGGAAATTATTCATTTCATTCAAATTTTCAAACAATTAGCATAAATTTCTTTGTAACTTCCTTTTGCAATCTTTTTAAATTTTGTTTTATTGGTGACACTTTACACTCCTGGTATTGGTCATGGGGGAACAGAACTGAAAGCAGTGCCCGCCTCAGGCTTTGTTTAAGAAGAAGTCTCCTGGGGCCTCAGGACAGTGGGGACAAAACAAGGGCTCCGCCGAGGTCTGGAGCCCCGGGAGCCTGCAGCTCAGGTGCGCACCAGACACGACCCAGCTCCTGCCCACTTGACACAAAATCCCACGCTACAGACATGTTCGTCTTGTCTCCTGTTGTCTGAACAGTGAGTCTAACGTTTGAAAAAAATTATGAGACATCTAAAGAACAACAAAATAAATAGTCTGGGGAGACAAAGCACACATCAGAACCAGCCTCAGAGACGGCACAGATTTTGGAAATAACAAATAGGGTATTTAAAATAACTATAATATATATTTTAAGGGCTCTCATAAAAAAGGCAACATTCAAGAACAGATGGGTGATGTAAGTAGAGAGACGGAAACTCTGAGGAGGAAGGAAACAAGAGGAAATGCTAGAAATTAAAAACACTCCAATGGAAATGGTCAGCTCGTCACCAGAACAGGCACAGCTGACTAAGGAACAGTGAGCCTTTTGCTATTAGATTAGTTATTTAAGTTACTCAGTTATTCATATGTTTAAATTCCATAAAATATTACTATTGTTCTATAGAATTAATAGTCACTTAGTTTTACNATTCTTCAAATTTCAAAAAGAACAAAATTATTCATATGACAGCATTTATATTTAGCAGCTTAAAAGGTGACACTTTGATAGATTAGAATTAAATCTTGAAGTCCAGATATAAAATGATGTTTTTATAGACAGTTGCAAACTCACTACAGAAAGGACTTCCTGAAATGTGATGGTGTTACAAGTGATCTGGTAGAATCATTAGATAAGTAATTGACTGGAGCTTTTAACCTGAAATTTTTTCCAGGCCCTTCCCGATGTGTTAAACCTTTGTACTGATCATAAACATGACTTCAAAGCAGCCTCCAGTGTGAAGGGGGTTTAGCCTCGCACCCCTTGCGCACCCCCTTGCGCATTTCTGAAAACGACGAGTTCAGGGTGTTGAACAGCATTACGGCTTCAAGAGTTCACTGTGTCACAAGTTAATTTCACAGGAAGTCAGAAAACTTGGGCCCGTTGCTCGTGAGCACGCAAGCGCCGGGAGGGGGTGCGGGGGCACGGAAAGCCCCAGGTCTCAGCACCGTCCAGGCAGCGCTGGGTGTCAGGCCCCGCCGGCAGGAAGCAGGGGCGCTGGTGGGTGGTGAACATGGGACGTCTGGCTGCATCTGTGCCTGTGACAGTCGTGTAATAGCATCAACTGCATGGATTTGAAGTTAGTGTCTTCATGTAAAAGCGTGACACAGGGTCTTTTTGGTTTTGTCCCGTGGGGGGTGTAATATTTTTTTAACAGTTTCTGATGTAATTATTAAAATAGCAAATTCAATGTATATGAAATCAATTTTGACTGTTGACATTACATGCACTTAAAAGTCACAACATTAATTAGTAAATTCAATTTATATTTTCACAATGTAAAAATTTATCCAAGAATCTCTCAAAACATACTTGGTATATAATATATAATGAAGATTGACATTTTTGAAATATAGTTAGTAGACATTTGTGGAATTCTGTCTTTTTAATTTTTTCAACATAACATTCAGCTTTGGTCCCCACTGCCCTTCCTTTTGTAGTCGGCTGTCTGCGCTCACGCTGGGCCAGTAAGAGGGGACGTCTCCCCCTGCCAGCCGGGCCTGTGTGACACGGCAGCAGATGTGTCTGCGCTGGAATCGCGGTCTTGAGCAGAGTAACTAAGAAACGCAAAGAGACACAGGCTGGAAGGGTTCATGCTCCTGGCGCTGTCAGCACAGCTGCCCAGAAGTTGTCCCCACCCTACAGGCGAGGCCCCTGTGAGTACTTACCCCGTGAACTGACTGTCCAGGGAAGATTACCGCTGTGCAGTGTACANACTTACCTCACAGGACATCTAAAATAGAAATTATGTTTCTCATCAAAGTCTTGCTATCCTGTTACATTAACTCTAACTTTGTGAATGTGTAATTTGACTCCCTAATGATTAACTCTGCCTTGATTTCCTCCTTGGCAGTAACTTTAGTCTATTGTGCTGAATACATCAATGAAGTGGCCGCGCTGAACTGGAGGTGAGCTTGCCCGCCCGCCGACTGCCCTGGCAAGTGCGCTGTGCAGATGCCCGTCCCCCGCAGGCCGGACAGACCAAGGTCTCACAGGAGCAGTAGCTCCCCGCAAGGCCGGCGTCCACACACTGGCAGGTGTAGCACACGTCAGAACGTGTGGCCTTTCCTACTGAGCACATCCAGCTGAAGAGTGTCCGTGACAGAGTGAGAGCTCGGGGCCACGCGGGATGGCCTTCCTGCAGGAAAGCCCCAGGGGTCGGAGTGCAGGGTGCCCGCCCGGCCTGCGTGTCCCATCTTTGCTGCCTTGAGTCCCGGCGCCCTGCCCTACCTGAGGGCCTGCTCCTGTCCCCACTCCCTGCAGCGTGGTGCGTGGCCAGCTCTGTCCATGTCGCACCCCCAGGGCTCTGCCTGGCGGTCCCACTCTCCGCACTTCCTGTTTCCAGACCCACAGTCCGTCCCCATCCTCGTCCTGTGTGTCCCCTCCACTCCGTTTCCACCTGTCGTGTCATCCTGGTTGGGCTAAGCTGCAGGGCCAGCCCCAGGCTGCAGCGTGCTGCCTGAGAGGCCTCGGCAGAGACACTTGGCTTTCTGGTCGGAAAACTGAACATGTGTCTCCAGACGGGGCTTGCAGACGGTGGCCCTCCAGCTGTTTTTATGTGGCCTGTGAGCTAATCGTGAATTTTACATTTGTAAATGTAAAATTCTAAGTTTTTGAAAATAAAAAACAAAAAAAAACACTGGCTTGTCAGCAATAACAAACTGAAGGCATTGCCTTCAGCCCACAAGGAATAGAGTGAGCTCTCTGGTCCTTTAAGAAGCGTGCTGAGCGGGTCCCTCCCTCGGTCACCATCCAGACACTTCTCTGAGCAACTAACATCCCCCCCCAACCCCCACTTAGCTGAGAACATGGAAGAACCAGGTCACAGGCACATTCGGGTTGATGTCAGGTTCGAGTATGTGCGAGTATTGGCTCTGCGTCAGGAAGCCTGTGGGTTAGGCAACTCGTGCTCCCGCCATCATGTTCCCTGTGCTGACAGCCGCTTCCGTCACCAGGGACCGATGCGTNTTTACAGGCACTTTTTAAAGGACTACAACATTCTAAAAGCAATCAAAGGAGTCAAAAATCACACATTTCGCTATTCCATGATGCTCAGAAAAAATTATTTCTCCAACTAAAATTAAATGATATGCACTAAAACCTCTCCATTCAACTATGAATACACGCAAATTCCTTTGCTGCAAACCTGGGGAAAGGACGCGCTCCAAGGCGGTGCTGCCACCTGCTGGCGCCCGAGCGCGGGGCCGCCCTGCGCAGGAGCCCCTCCTGGGACCGGGACAGAGGCGGCCTCACTCGTGCCGGGGGCGCTGTCACCTCCTGGTCGGGGGGCAGGGACAGAACACGGCCAGCGCTGCGGTGACACGGCGTGACGACCCCACGTCCGCGGTCGTCCTGCGTGTTTCTGGATCTTTCCACTTTGGTTTCGGGAGCGCTGTGCGCCTGGCTTTGGGCAAAGGCGACAACCTGGGACTGACAGGTGGCAGCGGGCGCAGAGGGGCAGGGGCGGGGGACCTCGGGGCAGGATCGCGGGGCCACGTCGCCCTAAGGAGCCGCACGGGCGCAGGGAGGCGGCGGGAAAGCCGGCGACGCCCCCGAACGCGGCGGCCTCCGAGCGGCGGGGCGCCTGCTCCGCCCCGGCCCCCGCGGCGGCGCGTGACGGAGCTCGCGGGAGGAGGCGCGTCGCCGTCCGTGTGGCCTCCGTCCAGCGCTCAACCCGGCGCACAGCGCGCTGTGCGACCGAGGGGGCGTGTCCTTCCCGGACGTTCAGGCCCGAAGAGCAGGAAACGGGGCGGAGCCGGGGCGGCGAGGCGGCGGGGACGACGACAGGCGGCGGCGCGCTCGGCCCGGCCGCAGCCTCGCGGGGCCTCCACCAAGCGCCGCGAGACGCGGACTCGGCGCGGCCCCGCGGATCCCGCGAGGTAACGGACGCCGCCGCTTCCGGCGCAGCGCGTCTCGCGAGAACGCAGATCCCGCGAGAGGTGACGCCGGAGGCCTCCTTACGGCGGCGGCAGTGAGGTGGGCCTGCCGGGGCCATGCCGTCCCCCTTCTCGGTCAGCGAGTTCCCCGTGAGCATCCCCGCCGTGATCACGGTGAGCCGGCGGCCGGATTCCCGGCCAACGCCGCGGTCGCTGACGGACGGGGCGCCGGGGGCGGGGCCTGTGCGTCGGGGGAGCCCTGGGCGTACGGGCGGAACTCCCCGGGGCGGGGGCCACGGGGGCTGGTCCAGTGGGCGTGGCTACAGGGGCCCTGATCGTATGGGCGGGGCGACGGGGTGGGGGCTGATGGGTGGGCGTGGCTAAACGGGGCGGGGCCTGTCTGTGCGGGCGGAGCCCCAGGGCGGGTCCTGGTCGTCTGGGCGGAGCTCCCGGGGTGGGGCCTCAGGACAGACTAGGCGGTTTAGGGGCGCCCCGGGGAGGGTCCAGCGGGTGTGGGTCGGCCGTGGGCCAAGTGGCGAGGTGCTGCGGCTCCCCCAGCGACCCTGTCCCCGCGCAGTGTGGCCCCTTGCTGCTTCCCGCGCGTTGTCCCGCACGCCCGCCCTGCCCTTCGCTCTGGCCCTGCGGACGCGCCTGGACAGACACAGCTGATGGCCCGCTGACCGTGCCCAGGCTGTGGAGTGTCCGCCGGCGCGGTCCTGCGGAGCGGGCGTGCAGGAGGCCGGCGCGCACTCGGAGAGGCCTGAGGCTGCGCTGGAGACACGGCAGGCAGGGCGCCGGTCTGAGCAGGCGGGAGGAATCCGTGCAGCGAGGTTCTGAGCTTGGGGGTGCGGACATGCCCGCCCGGAAAGTTGAGGAGGCCTGAGAGCGCAGCACTTTGGAGGGCTGGTTGTAAGCCAGAAATAGGAGTTTGAACAGGAGTGACCAGGTGCATCTCCTGAACAAGTCACTTAACTCCCTCCTGGCCTCATGGACAGGGACCCTGAGGTTGTGATTGTCAACAAGCAGGAGGGGCACGTCCACGAGGCCACCAGGCCTGTGTGCACCAGCTTTCAACTAGCGAATGCTCTTTAAGTCCCTGGACATGTGGGGCTCCCCTCCCCTCTCCCTCCTTCTCCACCCACCAGTTGCTGCGAGGCCTGGGAAAGGTGCTCCCTGGTCAGCCACAGAAGAAGCCAGGAGTAAGGGGCCGCTGACTCCACACTGACCCTGGTGACATGAAGCCTGGCCCCGTGGGAGCTGGTGTTGATGGGTGTCTACGGGTGTGTCCCACAGCAGACAGACTGGACTGAGCCGTGGCTCACAGGGCTGGCCGTCTTCCACGTGCTGTGTCTGCTGCTCACGTGTGTCTCATCCCGGAGGTACGAGCTGCAGGTCGGACACTTCCTGTGCCTCGGTGAGTACAGTGAGACTTCCACGACCACGTTGCTGGGGGTCGGGCACTGCATGTTCTCAGTACAGAAATGTTTTCTTAAGACCCAGCCCTTCTATCCTGTGCTCCACTTTGGGTTTCAGGCCACCCCCGGATGCCACCCTTGGGATTATGAAGTGTGGGTATTGGCTTGGAAAGGGCCCTGCTGTACCAGTACCAGTCAGGCAAAGACCACTTAGCTTCAGTGACACACTGGCTCTTTACACAAGCTGTTTTTCTCCGTGGGCTTAGCACTGTGCTGCTTGCCCTGGGAGGGAGAATGCAAACCAGAAAGGAGAGTTCTGTGCATAAAATAACATGTTGCACAAATCAGTTTTCAAGATAGGAGCTACGGGAAGAGAAGGGGCAGTAGTATGGAACGACTAAGAGCACACAGAACATATCGTCACGGTATGTGGCATGCAGAGTGAGTCAGTTCTCGTATTAGACGAGATTACGAGCAGATCCGTGGCCCAGGCGTGAGATCTGGGGTGCAGGCACCCCGATGAGAGAGGAGGCCCCTGACACACACGGCAAAGATGGATGGAAGCGTGGGTGAGGTCAGATAGGGGCCGCCCAGCCCTATTCCTGATGCCGTGTCCTCAGAAGTATGCTGTGACAGGACGGGTGGGCGGGGGCCTCCGAGCCTGGGCAGAGGCCCTACGTTTTGTGGATGCCGGGAAAACACTGAAGATTTTGCCTGGTAGTTTAATAAACTGCGACGACTAAGAGAAGGTCAGTTAGCTGGCCTTGTGCAAGGTGGGAAGTGTGGTAGAGACAGGTGAAGCAGTCAGCCTGCATTGCAGGAGTACCGTGGCCCTGCACGAAGGAGGAGGGAGAGTTACTGCTTCATGCCTTTTCCCAAGACTTTGTCAGGGTGGACTAAGGAATGCTAGGGGTCCAGGGTGGACAGCAGGCTCCTTAGGCTCCTGGAGCTTAGCAGGGACACCGGCACTCACTAAGCAATCAGACCCAGTGACCTTGCCGTCACCTGGGATAAATGTTACATCAGAAAAGACAGGAGCACGAGAAATACTACGAAGGGACCCGTTTGAGTCTGTGCAGTAACACTTGCACCGAGGCTGTAAAGGGTCCAAGGGGACGAGCCAGGCAGCAGGTCTGTGGGGCCAGCCTGGACACACCATGCGGTCGGAACAACATGTACAAAGGCCCTGGGGCAGGTTCTCCGAAGAAGGTGATGGCCTGAGCACATGAGCTGATGTGTATCAGACAGTTTTATAAACTTAGAAGCTACGTGTGGATTTGGGATTTTCTAGGATGAACAAAGGGGTGGCTTTCTCACTTGGGGATAATAGATGCTGTTATCTATAACTCATTTAATTCTCAGACCAGCGTAAGCTTGGTGTATTATGTGCCCATTTCATTTTACAAATGAGACACAGGGGTTCATGCCCCCCAGCTCCTGAGCGGCTAGTCAAGATGCATTCTGTCTTCAGCTGGGGAGGAGCCCAGGAGTGGGCCCATGTCCCTGCAGGTCTCCCCTTTCTCTGTCCTCTTTGTCTCTTTTTTGCTTCCTGATTTGCGGGTCCTGGTGTAACTTGTTTTCTGATTTGCACATTTAACTTGGTGAGAAAGTAAAGCGTCAGGTTTCTAGTGTGCTGTCCCTGTGACTGTCAGCAGGTGGCCCTAGGGCCTCTCTCCCAGGTGGGGACTCGGTGCTCCCTGCCTCCACTGCTCCAGCAGCACCACGTCCCCATTTAGGTGGTTTGTGAGGACGGCGGCCATCCGCAGTGGTAGGGTTCCTGTGGCTGTTGTCCCCATCGGGTTGGCTG